GGGCCCTCCATCAGCAGCCACCACTTTCCAGCCAGACAACTCCAAAGACAGAAGTAAGAGTTACAGGATATGGCATTACCATCCTTCCTTCTATGCAGCTGCTTGTGACACTGCTACCTTCACAGCTGGACTCCTGAGCAGCAGCTACCCCTCTCCAGCTCCCTAGTTCTGAAGGCAGCACAACTGCCAGCAGCAGTGTAGAAAAAAGGAAATACAATGGATCTCCCCCATGAACCGCACACCAATAAACTTGCAACCTCCTGAAGCTCCCTTTTGTGTCAGGATCCCCAATTTGAGAAATGCTAGTCTCCCCCGTGAAATACATATAATCAGGGGCAGATGACTGTTTTGCGGGGCCCTGGGCAGCATAACTCCGCGCCCCCCCCCCTTGCCACGGCGCATGCGCGGGGCTTTTTTAAGCGCAGGGCCCGGGGCGGCCGCCCCGTTCGCCCTGCCCTATATCCGCCCCTGCATATAATACAGGGCAGACACAAATCTGATCTTTAGTATAGGGTAAAAGCAGACTATGCACATTTCACAAGAGGAGACCAGATTTCATGGTCCATGATGCATTTGTGAAGCCCATGAATTTGGTATGTCCTTACATGTTATACATCTGGCAAAACCATTTTAAAGTTGTGGGATTTACAGAAAAATTGTTGGCCACCAGGTATATGTTGACTTATTAATGTGTCTGGTTTAGGAGCAACTATACCAATAATTTGATTAGCAACATTATATTAGTTACAGATAACAATAATTACTTGAATTTAAGTTTTAAATAGCACATAGTTCAGTTGTTAGTTTAAAAACTGTTGATCTTAGAAACATTTATTATGCAAGTAAAGGAAAGAATTCTGTGCAAGTATTTCAGCAGATTATATAAATGCATATATTCATTACTTTTTTTGATTAAAGACTTAATATAGAATTACTAGCAGTTTTTCTTTTCTAATAAAACTCCTAGGCAATTTGCACTTATTCATACAAAAAAATTAGGTAAATTGTTCACAATTAACATTAATGCCTAACAAGGAGTTTAATTTTCCATCTGTTATATTTTGATTTATGTCTAGTTAGGTAAAATATTACTAACGTACTAATTTTCTACTGTTGGGCAAATCCTAGTGAAGTGCATTTCTGCCCTGTCCCATTTTTTAAACTAAATTTTTGCATATTTTATTTTAGCCAGTCAGATAAAAACTACTGGCTTTAAAATAGAGAGGGTTTTTTATTTTAATGGTGGCTATCAATCTGGTAAAGGAATCTATTGTGTCTGATAAAGGGAAATTATTCTTTAATTATTGAGCTTCATTAATATTTTAGGGCTGTAAAATTATTAAAATTAATCATGATTAATCACATGATTTAAAACATCATGATTACTCACACTGTTAATAATAGAATACCATTATTTAAATAGTTTTCGATATTTTCTGTATTTTCAAATATATTTATTTCAGGTACAACACAGAATACAAAGTATACAGTATGGGTCTCTTTATACTTATTTTTCATTACAAATCTTTGACCTGTGAAAAAAATTAGTATTTTGCAGTTCACCTAGCATAAGTTCTGCAGTGCAATTTATTTATGATAGAAGTTGAACTTATGGATGTGAAATTATGTACAAAAACATTCATTCAAAAATAAATCAATGTGTCTTTAGTGTCTGTAGGCCAACTCAATCCTATTGCTTGTTCAGCCAGTCGCTCAGACAAGCAAGTTTGTTTTTTTTTCAATTGTAGATGGTAATGTATTCACTTCTTTTTCACAATGTCACCTGAAAGTGAGAACAGGTGTTCACATGGCAATGTTGTAAGATATTTACATGCCAGATGCACTAAAGATTTGTATGTCTCTTGTGGTTCAGTCAGCATTCCAGAAGGCATGTGCATTATCAAGACAGTTTCCCCAATTATCACCTGTAATACCATTAACTCACAAACATCCCACTCTCCCTACCTCTAATATCATCAATTCACAGACACTTACCTTCCTTCCTCCCCCTTCCCACCCCCCCGCCTCCTCCTTCTGTTCTGCAATGTGATTTGTCCTTTTCATATTTGTTCTTTTTTTTAATTGTATCCTTTGGTATATATGGTTGTGACTACTTTCTTCCACTATTTGATCTGAGGAAGTGGGTCTGGCCCACGAAAGCTCATCATCTAATAAACCATCTTGTTAGTCTTTAAAGTGCTACATTGTCCTGCATTTTGCTTCTTTGAGGTGTAAGTGTGGAATTTAGACTGGTTCTGAACAAATTACAGCTCCCTCTATATCTGAGAAAATTTTGTTTTCCCAACTTGAAAAATTATATATCTATTTTGTTATGCCAATCATTTTTGTGACTGCTATATGTGACCATGCAGACATCACCTTGAGTTCAGATTCAATGAGAATTGGTGTAGCTTCTCTCCCCTTTTGGGCTTTATAGGATCGAATTAGTATGGATTGGATGGCTCCCAATCTCCCACAATATGATCTAATTTGTCTCACAGCTCTAACTTGGCCAGAAAACTCTTCTTCCATTAATTCTTCTGTGTAGAGATGGTTCTGTGGAGCAATCCTTTCCTTAAAATCTATAGTAAAATGATGTGGGGGAATTGCTAAAAAGAAGACTAAATATACTGTGTTACAGCTAATTGATAATGATTTATTTAAAACATTTATAGATCTTCTGCAACAGTTAGGTTTTCTCTGCTCTTGAGTGTGAGAATATTTCCAATTAAAGCATTTAACTTACAAATGTATCTTAAACCAGATGCATTGGAAACTCCAGAACATCCATAACATTTTATTATTTTAGAGGAAACTTCATGGATTTACTCAGCCAATGGTATTACTTTATAATTTTTTGATGCAAAATACTCTGCCAAAGATTAATAGTGTGAGAGTTGCTTGCAATTATGGGTGTTAAAATAGTTAACCAGTAAGCTTAACAGTTAACCAGTCAATTAATCCCCACCGGTGACCTCCAGCAGCAGCCAGCCATGCTTGGCTGGGGCAGCCCCAACCTTAGAGAGGTCAGAGGTAGAACCTCACAGAGGTCAAGGCGCAAGCGTGGAGTTAAAATGGTTAAATGAATAACCGTTTTAACATTCTTACTTAGAATAGAGATTAGGATACACAATTCTCTCTGACCCAATGGAATACAATTACATCTAATGTTAAAAAAAACAACTGAAGACTTGAGATTATGGCTTATTCATCAGAAAACATCTTTTAATATACTGGTCCCCACATAATTTAATGGTAGTAGTCCTCAGAACTGGTGACAGATATTGGAAATGTAACTCTGTTGGTGCTGTGTTAGTACATACGTATTGTGGGAGTGTGCCTCCATCAAGAGCTTCTAGTCAAATGATTAATCTGATTTTGGATGCTAAATTTTGTTGTTGGATATATTCCTGATATCTGAAGGTTAACAGTTAATAAGGTGGAGTGGTTCCAATGTATATTTTGGTTGCTAAAACCAAAGGGTAAAAGTCAATCCCGGCTAACCATTGATGTGTGGCTCAGTGGTATAGTTGACCTGGCAGCTGACAATGGCTGACATTCTGTAAAAGGGGAATACCAGAGAAATTCAGTTTTTTCAGAGGTCAGTGATTAATGCAGACACAGCACATATGTGTAATTTCTCCTCCCTTTATCCTTAACCTTTACTTACTTTATAGGTTATGATGAATCTTCTGTTTTGGTATATTTGTTTTATTTTGAAAAATATAAATGTTTTTATCTATGCATTTTTGTGTTTATATTTAAAAAAAATCTAGACAACTTTCTGGTGGCTTAAGCAGTGTTTCCTAAATTCTGAATTGGGGATTCCTAAATTCTGAATTGGGATTATATAAATCTTTATATTTTAAGTACTACAACAGTACCTGATTGAGTTCGAGTCATTTGATTTGAAAGTTAGCTTTTGCAAAAGCAAAAACCTTAGTGAAAATCAGATCAGATATCTGCATCTCAAGCAATTCAGAACTGCTGATTTTTACCTTTTGCTTTGATCATTATTATAATACAGACTTCTGCAGGCATTGCTATGTCACTCAGGGATGTGATTGAGGTGTAATATGTGATTAACAGAGCTGTGCTCTCAAAACCCCTACTATAGACACAGTTATATCAGCAAAACTCTGCTTTTACCAGAATAGCTTGTCTCACATTACTACAGGGAAAGAAGTGCTAATAAATTATACCAGTAAAAGCATAGTTTTTCATGGTTTGCCAATGCAGCATAACACTACACCTATACCAGTGCACAATACTTAGCAGTACCAAATAACCCCCAAATTTAAGACAATTTCACCATTACTTCCTTGCAGATTTCTCACTTAAAGATGTCCAACTGAGCATATTCTTTTACATTTCTGTTTAGGGAAGTCAGTGATATACATAATATACTGTTACAGTTCTCATTTGGTAAAATAAAGGTCATACAGTCTTCTGAGTTTACCTTGTGGTTTGTTGTAGAAGTGCAATGCCATTTCCTGGATCTCTAGCACTACCCACCCCATCTCCCTTAACAAAAACCATAACAACAACAAAAAACCTTTACAGTCCTTGAAAGGTAATAAACTCTCAAAGTCCTGGTATGTGCCTGCAACCTTGGGGGAGGGCGGAAAGGGACAAGGAATAATTCATATTTAAATTTATTCTTAACATTGCACAGTTCTTTATCTCTTCAAAGCATATTGAAAAACTATTTTTCACAACTTTCCTCGTTTTATAGATGAGGAAACAGATTTGTAAAACTCTGATATTCCCCCAATCATTTAGTGCACCAATTTCAGAACAAAGAATAGAACTTGGGAGTTCTGTCTCAGAGTCCTTGGCTGGAGCAACCATGAGCTATTCTGACATTTTACATCGTGTATAATGGGATGAATTTTCTTATTTATGTTAGCATTGCTCCCTTAATTTATGTGTTAATCCAAATGCGACTATTAAAATGTCCTAAAGATCTATTATGCATTTATTTTTAATGTATTTTACAGATTATTGTTCAGTTGTAACAATTGTGGACCAATCAAATGTGAAGTTAACATGCACACTTTTTAATGGAAATCTAGATGCCCTTCCAAAAATCTACAAAATTGGAGATATTGTTCGATTTCATAGAATAAAGGTACGTTGTTTTTAATATATTTGTGTTTGGAGGAAGACTGCAGCATTGTGGGGATAGCTTTATTCATATTGTGAAATTTCTTCAGGCCAATACGGAATAAAGAAGATCGCTCATTTATGAACCAAGACTAAATTGATTAAAAAACTTATAGGCACTCTATTGGTAGTTTTATAATAGGTATAGGATTTCTATGTGAACAGAATATGTTAGCAATAGCCAACATGGATTGTGTAAATGAAAATCATGCCTCTTCAGTCTATTAGAATTCTTTGAGCTAGTTGCTCTGAACCCAGCTCTGGAGCATATTAGATAAATCTGATGACTGGTCTAAAGTGAACTAGCTACAGACCTCTATAAAATGGTGGCAGTAGAAACACTTTAGCTGTTTTGTCTGTATTGGAGCATGTGTACTATAAAAATGTACATATTCTTCAATACTGCTCTGTTTGGATCGCCCGAAGATTTAATGAGTTCCATGCACCACCCATGGGCAAAAATTCAATTGAGATCTGCATTAAAACAATAGTTTGGTCTCTAGCTCCGAGCCAAAAGTTAATAAGACACAAAACTTAGAAACTTGTTAAAAAATGACTGTTTTATACCTCTTCACAATCTTTAGTTTAAATGACCTCAAATCAAGTCACTGAACCATTCCTATTGCTTTCTAAGGTGTACTACATTTCAAAAGAATCTGACTAAGCATACCAATTTTAAGAGGACTAAAAGATCACACTTTAAACACAACCTTAATTATAGTGGTGCTGCTGTGCCACTATAATAATTAAAATAGGAGTTAGCATGATCATTTGGGTCAGAGATATTTCTTATCTTTTCACATTGACTTTTAATGGGAAGGGAGTTCTGTTGGGATTAGTCTAGATACAGAATCACTTGATTTGCTCATGTTTCAGGAAACGAAAATTGCATGCATCTTGATAACAAGATTGAAAGATTGTTTAGCATAATTATATTTCTGTTACTGTCATTTGTAATGCAATTTTGTGACGTAAGCTAATACTTAATGAATTAATACAGATATATCTGTATCTTCTACTGCATTAGTTACTAGTGATAAATCTGTGCCTTTTACTACTTTGTGGGGAACACAGTGATGGGGAGGAAATTTAGCTTTCTGCCTAACAATGGAAACATATGGTCTCAAATGTTGCACTATATCAGCACCCTGCATATTGTATAACACCTTGTTATTCACACTAAAACTACATGAAAATAATGTTCAGCTATTCAGAATATGTAGTTAGAACCACTACCAAATTAATGGTCCATTTTGATGAATTTCATGTTCATAGTATTTTAAAAATAGTAAATTTCATGATTTAGCAACAGAAAACTCTTGTAATTTGCTATGGATGGGTTCCTGACACCACCGTGAATGGCAAAATTTGTGAATACTGGGAACCACAGCTGAGCTCCCCGAGGCTCCCAAACTCACCTCAGCAACCATAAGGAATGCATGGAACCACAAATCGCGAGGGTCTCCTGTATTTAAATCTGAAAATTGATGTTGTAGGGATCCTGAACCAAAAAGGAGTTGTGGAGTGGTCAAGATTATTGTAGGAGGAGTTGTGGTATTTCTACACTTTATTCTATGCTGCTCATGGCAGAGCTACCTTCAAAGTCGGGCTGCTGGAGAGTGGTGACTGTTGGCTGAAAATCCAGCGTGAAAGGCCTTCACCAGCAGTCAGCGCAGAAGTCAGGATGGAATGTCTCCTCAATAGAATGTTTTTTACTGTGTTGAAGCCTTGGAAGTCTCAAAACATTAGAGATACAAGATGAGTAAAGTCACGTCTTTTATTGGACCAACTTCTGTTGATGAAATGGACAAGTTGTCAAGCTACAAAGAGCTCCGTGTGTCTGGGTCCAGATCTGAAAGAGCTCTGTGTAGCTTGAAATCTTGTCCCCTTCATCAACAGAAATTGGTCCGATAAAATATATGATTTCACCCACCTTATCTGTTCAGCAATTTCAGTTTTCTTATCTTTTAACATTGACTGTTAAGTGGGAATGTTGCATGCTATATGAACCCTGTCATGGGGTGTAGGTCACAAGTGGGAAGTAAGGGGTTATGGCACATGTGGTTAGAATAGGTACTACTGTCCTACCCCAAGCACTGTGGTAAGTGTAGCGCAGGGTAGAGGGACTGAACCTACCCTGGTGCACCAGGTCCCAATCCAGAGCCCTATAAAACCAGTAGTCCTTGGTTCTCACTTGGTTTCCTGTTTTAACAGCCACAATCCCTGGATCGCATCCTAAAAGTGGTTCCTGCTCTGTCAGTTCCCTGGGGATGTTGGTCTTCTGGCTCACTCTGATCTAGGGATGGCAAGCGAATAGTCGAGTAGTCTGCTCAACTACTCACCTCCCCCCACACTTTGCTGCCTCTAATACAGAGGCAGCAAGGGTAGGGGAAACAGGAGCTGGTGTTGGTGGGAGGCGGCTTAAAAGCAGATTCCCCCCAGCACTGTCTCCACAATGCTGCCTGCCCCAGTGGGTGGCGGTATGGGAGGCTGCCCTGAGGCTCGGGCAGTGGCCCGGGCTGTCCACGGCCCCTGTCCACAAGCGGGTCCCAGCCCGCCAACAGAGGCTGCTGGTCCCAACACAAGCCAAGACTGAGCAAGCCTGGCTCAATCCCAGATCATGCCAGTCCGGGACTGCTGCAGCTGTGTGTTTTAAATGTAGTAAGAGCTGCCTAGCTCTTATTACATCTAAAATGCAGAGCCACAGCAGTTCTGGACCCGGTGGAAGTCAGGACTCCTCATTCCCAGCTTGCGCTGGGTCTGTGACCTACCCTCCTGTGGCTCTGCATTTTAAATGTAGTAAGAGCCGGGCAGCTCTTACTATATTTAAAATGCAGAGCCACAGTGGTCCTAGTCCTGTCCCAGCTTGCGCCTGTCTGGGATCTACCCCTGCTGCGGCTCTTCAATCTAAATGTAATAGAAGCCGGGCTGCCTGCATGCCCAGCTCCTAGTACATTTAAACTGCAGACCCGCAGCAGGGGTAACTCCTAAACCGACATGAGCCAGGACAGAGCACCTTCCCTTATTGAGTACACGATTAGTCAGTTACTCGCCTCTTAACATCCTTACTCTGATCCTCCGGGGTCAGCAGGGGTTCCACTGTCAATCCCACTAGCTCAGCCTCCATCACCTGTAGCTCCCAGTAATACCCAATCAGGAGCCCAGAGCATGTTCCATTCCTCCTCAGCCAGCCTGGACTGAGCTGCATGACTCTCTTTGATATCCTGCCTCCAGGTTGAACATTTCCAGCAGGAACAAAGGCGTACCCCTTCACAGAGGGGAAAAAAACATTTTTCCAATTGGTAGAAAAGTTATGTGCAGAAATTGTCAATAATCTTATATTGGCCCACATAATTATTTTAACTTGTCCATGTGAACAGTTGAATTAAGTTTACCATGCATTTTATTACCTTTTCAGTGTTGAATCTTTGTTGTTTTTATTCTGATACTGAAAAAGTCCATGCTAATCGTGTTGTCAGTGATAATAGAGTGGGAACCTACAGCTATCCCGCTTATATTTTGGTATACTTTTTCATATGTTCACAGGAGTTCATTTTATATTGCTCCCATGAATGCCTTACTAACATCATCTTGTAAGTACTGGAACTAGAGCTGGTTGGGATATTTTCAGCTAAGAGAAAGTTTATCAAAGCTGAAACATAACTGAGATGCATCAGTTTCAACAACATTTTTGCCCTGTGAATCAGGAAGGAGACTCCCTGTAGTCTGGTAGTTATGGCACTGGTCTGGAATGTGGGAGAAACAGGGTCCTGTCCCTGATTTGCCTGATTGAGAACAGTATTTCATCTAAGATCCCTCTGAATCATACAACTTGAATTTGGGTCTCCTACCTCCCTATCTTCTGCCATAATCACTAGGATAGGATGACACTCTTTTTGTCTCTTCTGGGTGAAAGAGCTCAAGGTTTGATCTGAAAATAGACATTTTGATACAAATGCATTTTTATAAAAATAAGTCTTGATGCTTTGTAAGTTTCTCTAAATCAGAATTATTGTCCTCTAATCAGGTGTATCTGTCCTGTAATGTACCTAGAATGAAAAAATTGGAAAAGTAAATAGTTATGCATTTGTCCTGTAATGAAAAGTTTGTACTGTATCAAAATGCAAATTATTTTTAACCAGTGTATAACTTTCATTCAGGTATTTAAATCTAAATAATTTACCATTCACACTTTTTGAACACATAGGTTTATTGTGTTAATTAACTACTAATGTATCATTGCTTAGTTTTCCTTAAACTAAAGTTTGTTCCCTAATCCAAGTTAATTGGACTTCATGTAGACACAGGGAACTGCCCACACAGAACATCTTTCAGGACTGGGACTTCAATTAGACATCACAGCAAGAGGAAACAAGGCAAAAGAAAAGGTATTGAGGAGAGTAGATGGGAATATTATTAGTAAGCTGTAGTTTCTCAGCCATAGCTAGTGCATTCCATGATACAGTATAGAGGCTGTTTTTAATTTTTGTAATGAATGTTTTGGTTGTCTAAGTTACACTTTGAATAGCTGAAGATATTTAATTTAGATATACAATAATTTACAATTAATAATTACAATTTTAAATTAATTGATATTTTTATATTATGTGTATCTGTGTGACCTGCTGAATATTACTTACTCTGAAGGAATATCTATAAAAATTGAATTGTTTCTATTTGATATCCCAGAATATTTGAAAATATTGACACTTTTTAAAGACCCACAGAATTTTGCCATCTATTGCTCATATCTACAGTATTTTTCCTGCTCCTGAATTCCAACTTAATTTTTAGGCTAACAGTCTAGTACAAGCTACAAAGAGTTTTCTTTTAAATTAGTCTCAGCATCAGCTCAGAAGTAATACTGGCAAGTGATATTGCTTGAAAGTTTACATGCAGTATATGAGTTGTGCTGAAGGATGCTATATAACTAATAAATAGGTAGTTCTTCGCCATTACAACATTCAGTCAGGCAAACAAATTAAAGAATAGTTCATCTTCAATACCTATGTCATCCCTGATTTAAAAAAAAAAAACAGGCGTAAGGTTTTTTGGGAGAAGCAGAGACGAGAATGCAATATAGGCTGGGGACAATTTCTAAGCTATTTTTGATTAGTATGAAACCTTGCTGAGTGCAGATTGTCCCACATCCACCTATGGAGTGTTTCCTTAACCTTTCTGTGAAGCCATGTGGAACTAGTTAGTGCCTGTGACAGAATACTGGATAAGACAGATAACAAGTTTGATCCATCATGGTAGTTCTCCATGCTACCCTATCCTGACTTGGTGGGACCATCTGAACAGTTGAATCATTTAGTATCAATGATTTTGCCATCCTTTATCGTCTACTGAGTCTGCCACTAAGGATGCCAACAATCACAATGGCACTGTTTGTGACGTGTGTTTTGGAGTTGTGGAAACCATTTACAGGGTGGACACCTTGTCTACTAGGACCTGGACTGAGGCCACTGCATTAATGGCACATAGTCATGAAGGGGGCTAATACATTTGCCTTAGATGCACTCTTACAAGCTGGAAATTATCCCTACAGATTAACAATATCTGCACAATGGAGGTGTCAGCAACTTGATAAATAAGTGCATTGGCAGAACTGTATGGAAAAGCTTGAACAGCATATTGTCCAAATTGTGCCTCTTTAAATGCCTCCAATTTTGGAAACTGGTGGATATTCTCTTCAAATCATTCCTAAAGTGAGGCTGTGTACAGCTGGTCTTAGTCATTTATTTTATTAGCTTTCTATTTAAGCATATGCACAACTATTTAATTAATGTTAGGGACTGTAACAGGGTGACACTCACGTCTCATGAACAGCCCCTCAAGTGTGTGTGTTTACCCTCACTCTAGTCCAAAGCCTCTTCAGCAACTCAGCCCTCTGGCTAAGTCTCACAGCCTGTGTGCAATCAAACACAAACCTTTTCTAGGATACAGATTTTAACAGGGGCCCTTCTCAGTGCCCTCTAAATAGTGTCTCTGAGTCCATTCCCTTAAGCCGTTCCCTACTCTGGTAGAAAATGGTGTCTCCAGGGCTTCCTCCCTTTGAAAACAATATCTATGCCCTTACCCCAGCCCTTACCTGGCTTTATTTCAGGCCAGGTCTACACTAGACCTGGAAGGTTGGCTTAAGGTACGCAACTCCAGCTACATAAAATTTGTATCTGGAGTCTGCTTACCTTAAAGCCGAGCTTGGCACCATCTTCACAGAGGGAGGTTTTCTCCCATCAGCTTCCCTTATTCCTCGTGATTGCAAGAAGTACAGGCACCAGACAAAGTGCCTTCACCAGTCAATTTATGGGTCTTAACTAGACCTGCTCAATCTAATGCCAGAAGAGTGATCTCCAGTATGGCAATTGAAGACGTGCCCTCAGAGTGCCATCATAATCCATTTTCACTAAACTCACCACAATGAGCTGTCCACAGTGCTTCTACTCTCCCCTCCAGTCTGTCTCCCACTCTGCTCAGCTTGAGGTCTCTAGTGGAACTGAATTGCCTCTGGTCCTTTTATAGGGCCTTCTTTGCCCCTGATTGGTCACTTCTCCTTCAGTCACTCTAGCCTTCTTGAAGGACCTCTCTATTGCTTATCCAAGGCACGGGGGGGGGGGGGGGGGGGGGGAGGCTCAGGGTCTGGTCCACCCTATCACAGGGGATAGGTCTAGACTATGGGGCTTTATCAGAAAAAGCTACGCAAATTGCGCTCCACAATTCACATAGCTTTTTCCGATTGCTTTTCCTGAAAAGGCTTTTCTGCCATTTGGCCCCATCTAGACGGGGCCAAATAGTGAAAAAGCCTCCTTTTTCAGCAGAGCTCTTATCCCTCCTGGTATGAATTACACAGGACTCCCTGAAAGAGCGTGTTGGCTATTCCATGAAAAAAAGCAAAAGAGCAAATGAGCTCCCTGTTCGCAGGAGGGGTTTTTGGGGATACCTAGGAAAAAAACCTGTAGTCTAGATGTAGCAGAACACAACATATTTACTTACTTCTCTTTTCTATTACCACCTGCTTTCTTATATGGCCTCAATTATTATATATCTTTTATGATAAATGAATTAAAAAATTAAAACTCTAATATAACAGAGACACTATAATCAAGATATTATGTTTTCAAAACCAGTTTAAATTGTGGATTATTATACTTAAAGGAATGTGACTGAACATTTACAAAATATAAAGTAATGTTCCAGAAAACATCTTTTGGGAAGGAAAATGTTTTCATAAAAGTAGCAGTCATAAGCACTATCTGAGGAATTCTATCTCAGTAATAATCTGTGAATCTAATTGATCTGGTCAAGGTTCAATCACCTAACTTTAGAACAGCAAAAAGTTAACTGAATTATACATAACGTAGGATGTTTAAGTAAATTGTAATTTTCCTTTTTTGCCAATTCCTTGTAGCAACATGCAGTATATTCTTTGCCTAGTTTAAGTTAAAAAAGAATATATCAGAGAAATCTCTATCCACAGTGAAATATTGTTCTATTTAAGAGACAAACAAACCCTTTGTCTTGAAACTACCAGGCATTCTTTTGTAAAATATGTAAATTATGATAATGCCGTTGATCTTGTGGCATCCAGATTTGAAAAAGCTGTCTTCAGTTCTTAATACAGCTGCAAATCAACTTTCAGATTTAGTTTAGAATCTTTTTACTGTAGCAGTTATAGATTAGCTTTATGTTGTCTTTGTGAAGCATTTTGATGATCTATGACAGCAGTAATTTTGTAATAGTCTTGTACATTGCTCTTTCCTTTGTAATTTAACAATCAGTTTTGATTGAAAATTACCTCAGAGATACTGTTATCCCAGTTTTATATTCTACTTATTATCACACTTTCCTTTCCAAACCAGGTAGATAATGTTAGCTCCAGTAAAATTGAATCCAGATATATTTAGCTTTTAAAAGAGTATTCATGGAGATTAGAAGCTGTTGTGTAAATATATTCAGAGTAAAATCCTCTCCTGTTGAAGTCAAGGGAGTTTGCCTTTGGCTGCAGTGGGTTCAGGATTTCACACTCAATTCTTTAGGTTCAAAATTACTTATCCAGAAGCTTCCTTAAACCACAAGTGATGGTAATTGCTTACTCACTGCAAGAAAGGTCCACACCATTTGTTTTATTTTTACCCCCATAGAGGTTTTACTATTTATAGTAATTATTATTTATTCAAGAGAGTGTGTCTCTTGCTGCCAGCCAAGATTCCATTCACAGGTTAGCTTTATCTACATGTAATTAAATTTCAAATTAGTTTTAAGTGCTAAGTACATAGCTATTTTTTAATATATCACTACTTACCATAGTTTGAGAGATACTCATTATGCTTTAACAAGCCATATGTTATGGAATTCAGTCCATGAATTACCTTCAGATTACACTCGACTGATTTAGTCATGATCCTTTACAAGAGGCTAGCCAAGAATGCTCAACAGTTGTATCATCTGTTCTTTAGTTCTGGTGTGTCAGCTAGTTACTTTTTTCCTTTGTAATCTCTCCTCTATATACAGTTTGGTTCTGCACCCTTTGGTCCTCACTGGTCCTGAATAAGGGAATTTTCTGGACTGAGGAGGTTCCCTGTCACTGGCCCCTCATCTCCCCAGTTGGCTCTGCTTCCAGCCCCACCCCCTACCTTCAGCCAGCTGTGCTGCCAGTCCTGGGCAGACCCCTCAGCCCTGGGGCTCCTGACAACACAGCCAGACCAATCTCCCCTGAGACTCACAGTTGCACTGCTAGAACCCTTGCAGTGGGGCTCCCAGTGCCGCTTGATCCCCCTCATGCAGGGCTCCCTGCACCTCCTGAGCCCCTACCCCCAGGCTCCTGGACTGTCGCTGGTCTCCCTGCCCCTGGGCTCTCTGGTTCAGGAACATACATGGTACTATCGGACCACAGATGTTGCCGGACTAGAAAGGCCCAGTTTAGAGAGTACAGCCTATAATTGTTTGTTCACGGGGTCATTTGCTAAATACTGCTATGCATGATTGCCTTTATAAAATCTCTGAGAGGCTTTCTCATTCACACAGCATTAAGGAATTTCCCAGAAAAAAAATCTCAACTTCAAGATGATTACTTAATGTCCTCAATCTTGTCTCTTGCAATTTTATTTCTTATGTTTCATTACCTATATTGCTTAATTACTATACTTAGTTATGTTTTCTCTGATTTCAGTGGTAATAAACTAAGGTCACTCATAAAGACCATTGGAGTATGGCACACAAAAACAGAATCATAAGAAAGTAAGGACATAAAATCAAGGTTCTAGTTGGAGAAAATAGTTTAAAATGAAGGAAAAAATGAAAGCTCAAAGGACCCCACCTGAACCAGTATACGTTTCCTGTGTTACTTGCATAGAAAGTTAAGAGCTTCATAAACTTTTATCTTTGGGTCTAGTAGTAAGTTTTCTATGTGTAATTTGCCTAGATACTATGGCAGTGGGTACTTGATAAATTATTGAACAAATAAATAGGAAATAAAAGCAAAACATCTGTGGAAAGGATTCATTTGAAATTCCACATAAAGTATTTGATGATATAGCTGAAATCTTTTTGATCATGGATAAGTGTATAAAACTGAAGGCTTTCCTTTTCCCTCAGTGCTGTATAGTTTTTTGCTAGAATGGAATATATTGAATATATATGGAAGTTATTCTGAAAATTACTATCTTTTTATAGTCATCTCTTAAATAGGGCTGGATTACCCACTTGGTGAAATTGGCCAGTGCATAAAGCTCCCAGTTTATGTATCATATCATGTATGTGAGGATGTCCTGATGTCTTATTGACATCACATAGAAACTGGAGAATATAAGGAGCAGATTGCCTGGTGCTTGAGAGAACACTTCAGGGTTTAAGCTTTTCAGAACTTGTATAGTGGCAAGTTTACAGTTAAATCAGTCGTCTCTCAAACACTGACAGTGTTGGGGTAGGTAAAAAAAAATGAATTGGAGTCTGGGATGACTGTACATCAGTGGGTAAGAGGTCTAGCCAGAATAGGCATTGCCATTTCCCTTTAAACATGTTTTCCCTTTTGTCCTGGAAGTCTTGGAAGATGGTTGCACTGAACAGTGTCTTGTTTTGTCTTCACGCTTGTCTATAAAAACATTTGAGGGTCGAAGCGCTTTCCCCCTCCCTATAAGCTGCTGATTAAGACAATAGGTATTGCTGATTCAACTAAAAACCAGTAAACAACAAACATGGGCGAGTAGAATTGTATTCATCACCTACTTATTAATATTCAGACACCGGCCCCTCCCCCAAAGGGATCCACATAGTGATGGTTAACTACCCTAGATGCTGAGGATACATCGGGTTAGTGTGCATTCTCCCAAAGTTGTGTGCCAAGTGGCCCTGAAGGTCAAGTATGCCTTCAATTGCTTGGCCTCTGGCTTCCTCCCTATCGAATTGCCTCTTGTTGGCCAGAAGGGGCTAATGCAAGCTGGAAGAAGCCTGAACAGAGTTTGGGTCAATTAGGGGAAGCTTGTAAAGAATCATTAGGGTGCTTGCGGGGGCAGACATGTATATAGGGAGTTGCCGAGCAAAGATGGGCAATTAGGCCCTGACCAGGGAAGGTGCAGGACCTGGTTCCCATTGAAGTAACTTTGTGAGAGCAGTACTGGGCAGGCTCAGGGGGCTAGAAGAGGGAGGCCCCTGCCTGATACCTTCCAGGCTGCTGGCCTTGCCACAAGGGCCAGGAGGGTGCAAAGAGTCACAGGGGAAGTAGCCCAGGGAATAAAAGGCAGTGAAGGGGAGTTGAGAAGGGCAGGACAAGGCTGCCACCGGAGGGTCCTTGTGTTGGGACCTAGAATAGTGGGTGGGCTTGAGTCCCCTCCTTCCCCACTTGCATTACATCTTGCCACTAAGGCGTGACCCATATAAACTGTGGCTTGCCCCTGAGATGAAGGGGCTGGGCTTGGAAGCCACAGCTGGACACAGTGGCGGGTGAACCACATGACGGCTGATATACTGCTGGTAGGGGAATGAGAGATAACTGTAGTGAGTACTGCTGGAGGACAGTGCCCTGAAGAGGACACCATGGTCCAGGAGTGATGCAGGTCCAAAGTTTAATGGGGAGACACCAGCCAGCAGGAGGACCTGCTGATAAGAGCTAATTCCCAGTGTTACTGATAGAAGATGCCATGGCAGTGAGTCATGCCCCGTGACGCCCCCAAAGAATAGTCTGTACACTAGTTTCCAGGTTAGCTATAAGGAATTTGGTGATGTTTCCCAGAGTTAAAATGTCGTTCCAAAATGCACTAAGGGCCGACCCCTGCAACAGGAAGGATCATTGCAGAGCAGCAGGGAGACTATTTAAGAGTCTGAACTATAATTAAGGTAAGTTACATGCATGAATCCAGGGGAAAATTGATCCATTTGTCATATTGTCATATGAGTAGAAGTGTAGCTCACAGGACTGGTATGTTTTGTTACTAAAGAACTGAGGGGACAATGTTCAACAATCTACTTTATTGTTTGGCAGTGTGGTCTAGTGTATAAGGAGCTGAACTGGGACATATGATACTGGGACTCTGCCAACAGACTTCTAAGAAATCTGTAGCAAGTCATAAGAAAATAAGTACAGTCCTACTACTCTGTCTTCTAACAGTGCCCAATGACAGATGCTTCAGAGGGAATGAACAGAACAAGCCAATTATTGAGTCATCCATCACCTGTTGTTCAGTTCTCTGACTGGTAGAAATGTATGGATGCCCAGAACATGGGGTTGCATCCCTGACCATCCTGGCTAATAGCCATTGATGGAACTATCCTCCTTGAATTTACCTCATTTTTTGAGCCCATTTACACACTTGACCTTCATCTTGCCCCGTGCCTCCGTTTTCTCATCTGTAACAGGTAGTAGAGCAGATTCCTTCCTCCATTTGGACAGCATTTTGAAGTCTTTGAATGAAAAACTCAGTATGAAGGTTTGGTTGGTATTTTTATGATTTATTTACATCTGTATTTCAGATCATGCCAGTACAGGAAGTATTGGTGTTAGATTGCATTTTCTTTGCTCATCTGGTTGGTTTTCTGGGTGTATCCATTTGTTTTGGGTTTATTTCATTTGGTTTTTTTCCCTCCAGATGTTTTCTTATTGTGTAGGAATAGTATATTTTAAAGAACAGTAACAGGCAACAATCATTTTTATACATGTAAAATACTGACTTTTTTAATACATTTTGGTGCACATTTTTCTCTTCCTGTTTTTGTGTTATAGATCAGGGAATACAATGAACAAATGCAGGGAATTACCAGTATTGGCTTTGCATCCTTGACATTTGATGGAACTGTGGGAGCACCAATAGTACCTCGAACCTCTAGTAAATTGTACACTTTCACAGAAGAAGAACAGAAAACAATAGAAGAACTACGTATTTGGGCAGCTAGTAATCTTTCAGTCTTTGGGCCAACAGCAAAATTGTCTGGTGTCCAGCCAATGCTGTTTTTTGACCTCACTTGCCAACTCTTAGGGAAAGCAGAAATAGATGGATCTTCCTTTCTTCTCAAGGTAGGTTTTTAAATAATGTATATAATTTGATTTAAATAGTTGTTACAGCTTGGCTGTTATAAAGCTTTGAGGTGGGATTGTGTGTCAAGATTTTAATGAACTCACTTGATCTTACATTTAAATAATTTTATATAGGATAATTTTAGACATTTAAGGGTTATTTTAGTAAATATATGATCCTCAACCAATTCAGTTGAATACAAATTAATGTTTTTTGTCTTTAAAGGCATTCATCTGACCTATTTCTCTAGAATTGTTAAAAAATATTGGTGTGAAAAGGTGTATATTCAGAACATGATTTCACAAGCATTTATAGTTAGAAATCACAGAATTTCTTAATACTGAAAAATGATATTGTCCATTTTAAGTTTTTACCTTGTTGCTAGTAAAATTAAATTTATTTTACATACACTTCTGTGTATTATGTTCCATTAGCACATATGCAGGATAATTTAATGCAGTATGTAAAATTGTTTAGCTCCATCTATCCATCCGTCCACTATCTTTTTGAGACATTTGAGTTAGCCTTTATTAGTTGTTTATAAGTTCATATGGGACCTGTGCTTAAGTAAAGAAACAAAATACAAAGCATCACTCTGCTTGAAAGCACTTTCTGGGAATGAATATTTAACATCAACTAAATGAAAAGGGATCAGTGTAATTTTTCTGAATTAACAACTGCTACAGTAGATTGGTTTTATCTTGAAACCCCTTCACGAGTTGACTGTTGAGAAATAAGAGCCAGTCTGATGTTTTCCATCTCAGGATGTTTGTTTTTATATATAGTGGGCTCAAGAAACAATTATCTGAAGCCATAAGTTGGTATTTTTAGAAAGGAAGAAAATAATGTATTATTTCTTCATTAGAGCAGTAGATGTTCTCTTGCAGAACATTGTTTAGAAATATTACTTAAGCTGCATCCTGCAACATGCCCTACAGCTGTTATAAACATTTTAATTCAAATAAACCTATGTAAAATGGATGCCAAAAAGGCCTAATAAAATGATTTAAGCACTTTGTGAACTGGAGGTAAAATGTTCATAGTTCATTACCTCAATAAGCACACATTCATGTTGTGAGATCCTTTTGTAAGAACGTTTCATTGCTGTCTGTTTATTTCAAATTTGACAGAGCCTTGCATTTGTGTCATTTTTATATAATCAAGGGACCAATTGGGAGAGGGGTAAATAAAGGCTTGACTTGTGAAAGTAAAACATTGATAAAACCCTAGCATGATAGATCAATTTGTTTGTAGTAGCAACCTTGACAGTGTCATTTTTATAGGAGTAGCATAAAGTTATTACATGCATAACACTTTATTAAAATATAGCAGCTAGACAAATTCCAAAATGCAAAGCAATTCTGAATTAATACTGGTATGGCATTGTTAATGCACTTCTTTGTGCTTAAGTGCTAAAGTCCATCTGAGTCTTTAGCAAATATAAATCTTGTTATAAGCAAGGCTCATACTTTTGGCAGGGCCTCTGTTATTCTGTGCTGAATTGCTAAAGGGTAGTGTCCATGCCACCAGCTTTCACATAGTTCAGTTATTACTCTTGTCTGTCGTCTTATAATGTAAAGCAGTGATTAATTTTGACTATTTAATAATTGTCAACAGAGCAGTACTCAGTGAATAAGTGTGTGAAGGTATTCATCACTGTGGCACCCTAAAAGACATTTTGAAGTGACTCCGAGAAACAATCAAATTTAGTTCCAGGGCTTTGTGTGTGACCCATAGTATTTGTTTAACCAGTGTTAGACACTGTATTGCACAAGTACTAAGAGACCAAATGACCATATGCAAGAAATGAGTCAAGAGCAATTGACAAGTGGTTACCAACTACACTGAGAATTTTCTGTTTCAATTCAGGGATACTCAGATCCATACCCTGGAGCAAAAGCTATCAGAAGCAGTTGATGAAGAAGGAAATAACAAACACTGAACTGAATTTTTAATGCTTAAACAAGATGAAGTTTACAAGATTAAAATACCTATTTTTCCTTCATTAAATTGCCTCTGCCCGCCTCTGTCATAGGAATAGCATGCCCTGGCATGGGACCATTCAAAGCTTTAGCACCTAAGGGGTGCATGGATGATTCCTTTTGCAACATTTTGTATTCATGAATATAAAAGGCCTCCACCCATGACAGTTCCTCAGTTCCTGCCTTTCCATCAGTAGTGATGGAACCAGTTCCTGTTTCCTGCACAGGTTTGATTTAGTTGGCATACCAAATAGCCTTTTTAGCCTTTTAAATAGCCTAATTTTCACATTTTTGGTTCATAGTATAGCAGGAATTGGTCCCTGCAGTAGCAGGAGAAATGGAAGTCTTTAAAGAAAAAATGAGTGGCAGTATTCCCTCTACAATTTTCCATCATTGAGCAGATTGAATTTTCTTATGTGCAACACCAATATTGAGGTAGTGTGTGAATATGCACCCACGAGTACAACCAAAAAACATAGATATAAATATGTATTTTATATAATCCATAGATATAGAAAATATATTTAAACAAGGGATAATTAACAAGGAGCAATGTTTATGATTATTTAATAAGAAATCAAATAAAAAGAAAATTAACACTACCCTTGACAGAAGAAGTGGGTTGTGCCCACAAAAGTTCGTGATACTATTTGTGTATTTTTTGTTCGTCTGTAAGGTGCTACAGGAACATTGTTGTTTTTTAATTTTTTTTTTTTAGTTACAGACTAACATGGTTACCCCTCTGAGATATTTGCGTACATGTATAATCATACTTTCTAATGGACAGATGCATGTTTTAAAGATCTTGCAAATAAGGTTTCATCCTATAAAACAGCTGGTATCACACCTAGTACTTGCTATTTCTGTCTCATAAGAGCCAGAACTCTACCAGCTATCAAAGATCTGGCCTTAATGCAATACAGTTTACTATGCATTAATTAGTAACATGGGATTTTAAAAAATAAGTAAGATCAGAGTTTTCAATATCTGTAACACACAAAAAAATCTGTTAAAAGAATCTTTTCTTTCTTACCTTAAGCTATTAACACCTATGTAAACTTTATTTGAAATGTAATCATGCAAATGTCCTGGCATAGCCCCCCTCTCCATGCAGTCGGCTTCAGGCCCTTTCTAAAAGAACTGTTATGGTACTAAAAGAAGTAACCCCCCCATCCCCAATTGCCTAAGATAACATCTAGAACACTGTTTCTTAAACTGTGTTCCGTGGAACACAGGTGTTCCATGAACAACTCACAAGTGTGCTGTGACCTCTTCTTTGTTTTTGTTAACTTCTTTGTTTTTGTCTTTTTTTGTCTGACAACATTTTTTATTTTTTTTTTTTTTTTTAGAAAATTTTCATTGGTGTTCCACGTAAAAAAATATTATTGTTTGGTGTTCCGTGGTCTCAAAAAGTTTAAGAAACACTGATCATGGGCATGTTTAGACTACATCCCTCTTTTGAAAGAAACCCGAGGAGTACAGGATCTTTTGGAAAAGGTTGTTTTTTTTTTTTTTTTTTTTTAAAGAACTGCATCTAGATGGCGGTTTTACTTTCGAAAAGCCCTTTTTCAAAAGAATGCGTGGCCGCCATTATGCAAATGCAGCGTGGGAAATTCAAATCCCGGCTTCATTTGCAATTTCGATCTGTCTAATTTACATCCCTCTTTCGAAAGAGGGACGTAGTCTAGACATGCTCCTACAGAACAAATTTACCAGAGGGTCCAGTCTGCACAGTTCCCAAGGAAACATGCAGTTTCACAATCATCTTACTCTTAATCCAACATCTTGTGTTTCACCTCTCACAATGTTTCCTCACAACATGGGATTCTCTCCTTCTCCCAAAAATCCTTACCAAATGTCTTGATTCAACCAGAAAACTGTCTTCCCCCCCCCACCACCACCCACCCACACCCATTTGCAGCATCTGCACATATAGACCATTACTGTCCTCTTTTCCTGAAGCCAGGGAGGGAAGCTTTCCAAGTATGGAACTCAGAGTTAAAAAGGGAGGGAGAGCTAAAGTGATCAGAGAGATGGCTGAAACTGGGGAGTGTTTTCCATTTTCAGTGACAGGGCAGGGAGAAGGTTGGTCTTGCTCTCACTGGGGGAGATACTGACTTGATTCTAAAAAGGGTGAAAGTATGAAAGTACAGAGGAGGGGGAAGAGAGAGGTGCTGTCTTGTTATCATGGAGCGGGGGTGCAAGTTGGCAAGAGTACGAGGAAAGTAGGAGGCAGAGAAGTAAAAAAATCAACTGCCCTGCTCTGAATGGACAGCAGGGGAGTGGACACAGGGGAAAACAGGGGATCCCTTCCCAGCTAGTTTCCCAACGGGAGGGCTAGGGAATAAGCAGAAAGGTCGGGGAGGCTGCTACCCTGTTAGCGGTTCACAGGGCAGGGGAGGATTTAGGAGCAAAGTAGAGAAGTTGATCCAATCAGATTGTGCCTGTAACTTACCCAGCTTTTTCCACGTGACTAGTGGCAGGCAAAGAAGCACCCATCCCTCTTCTCCTACAGCCAGCAGCTTCACCACAATCTGTGTCACATGATCCCCTAAGTACTTCCTGCCTCCCGAATTGGTGAACTCGCTTACTCCCAGTGAGTACAGACCCTCCAGGGGAGGTGGGGAGGACTAGAGTAGAGGCTGGAGCCAGTATAGCAGGCAGCAGCAGCAATTGCTGCTGCTTCTACTCTTCCACTGAGCAAGAGACAGTGCCCTTCCCCGGCCCCCCTTTCCCAGCCGATCAGCTAAGCTCCCTGCCTATGCAGGGAGCTCTGAACCTCTGCACAGGTGCTCAGAAAAGGGCTGCGTGCCTGCACAGGTGCACAGCTTACAGGGAACCCTGGTCAGTGGCTTCTTGTTCTAGCAAATATATTGGTTCTATCCACTCATTCCTTGTGTTTCAACTATTTAAGTAGGAAATATGAGTTCATTCGCATCTATTAAATTATAAAGGAACCACAGGTTAGAGGCCTTTGTTGGAAGATCAGTGGCTAATGGGTATGAAAAAGGATAGCCTTAAAAGGAGCCCACAGGTCTTCCAGGTTCCCTGCCAAGGGAGAATAAGATCTTTGGATCAGGATTTCAGTTCCATTTTTTGAGTATTGGATTACAGCTAGTTGAAAAATGAGGGGAGAAATTTTATAATACACAAACACTGCTGCACTTTCTGTCAATTGACCAGCTCCACTGCTGAAACCATCAGTCAAGGAAGTCTTTGATCCCTTATTCTGGTAATTTAAAATATAAAAATACTGACAACATTGGAATAGTTCAGTTAATAGGTACCAATCTTCCAAATCAGGTAACTTGATAGATCTAAAGTTGGATAGAATTATACACTGGTGCAAACATTGGTGGAATTTGGGACAACTTAGGATCTATAACTGCAAGTTCTTTTTTCCCCGCTCTGGGTCTTCAACAAGGATGGCTTTTTCCTTTTTGGTTATTCTCTCAGGTTGAGCATGTGAATCATATGTTTTCTCCAGCCTTCTGCATGTGACTTGTGTAAGTACTTCTCTTGAAGTCATTTCAAACAGAAGATATCTTTCTAAGCTACAGGAAGTAAACAAAACAGGAAAAATCTTTTCTTTCTTCTGCAAATTGCCTCTGCAAATGCTTGGGAAAACAGACTTTTAGCATGATATACTGAGAACTGTCTAGAAAACAGAGTCCATTGAGGTGTTGTGAGCATGTTTTCTTGCATAGCCAAGATCTGGCCCCATCTGCCCTTAGTTTCTTTCGTACACTGTAAACAGCAGCTTTCTGAACCATTGGGGGTTTTTTACAACCATTATTGTTTACTTTGGTAAGAACCTTGCTACCTTATTTCAACTGTGGATTTAGTCTATCTTACAGTCTATTGTATAAGATAGTAACTGCTAATATTTTAGTGTTTAATTTAAGTCTCTGTTGTTATGAAGTTGTAGACTGGTTATTTGCACTGTTGCCAAATATTCCTATGATGTATTCAAATAACAAATGTAATGTCTGAATGGTATATATCAAATGAAAATAAAATCTCCATAATGAAACACCACACCAGACACCTTCAGCCCTGTAAGAAAACAACTCCTTCTAAAGATTTCCTAACATGTCATGGCTTTTCTTCCTATAGGATACCTTCCACATCAATAACAGCAAAAATGTATATTGGTAGAGAGGATTCTTTGAAAAGCCAGCTAACCCACTAGGTGCATCATGTCCAGCTGAGAGAACTGACCAAAAAACTTCCAGAACTTCTGGGTTCTTAGGGCTAGGTACAAGTTTTATGCCTTAGCCATTTTTTCCTTCTCCCAATCCAACTGCCTGATAAGCATCATAGAAAATGAAGTCCAGGTTTACAAAATGACCAAATTGTTTCTAGACATTTCATCAGATTGTCTCTAGACATTCCATCAAGTGTCACATACTACAGCTAGTTCTGTGGCATGTCCCTTCACTATCACTATTACTTGGTTTTAAATTTTGGCTTTTCCTAATGTGATAAACTTCGGATAGGAAAAAAAGTAAATAACAAATGACAATTTAGAATATGTGTATCATAAAAAATATATAGGAGTCATGATTCTCACTACTTAAATGTGAATAGTTCCTACTGAATGAAGTGAGTATATGTCTTAGTTAATGTAAGCAGTTACATATGTTTGTAACAATATAATCTAAAACAATCAAATTTTTAAATCTTTTGTTTTGCACATTGAAAGTATTAAAAAGGGATTGTTGAAATAATTTCTTTTAATGGCAGGTGTGGGATGGTACAAAATGTTCCTACCCATCTTGGAAAGTACTTGTGGAAGAAAGTGACCTTGAAGGAGATAAAGTTCTCATCCATCGGCTGAGAAATCTGACTGTAGACATTCTAGTTTACGATAACCATGTGCAGCTGGCAAAATCACTGAAGGTAACGTAGAATTCAGTATTTTTAACTTAGATTTTACTGATTGTTTTGTTTTTGTTTTGTTTTGGATTCACTTCCTGAAAACTAGCTATTCACTTCCATGAATAATGACTTAGTTTCAAATATGCTTTTTATCCTTTCATACATGCTATTTTAGTGCAGGCCTCCTTCAGCAGGTGTGAAACAGCCCCATTACCTTAAAACAACCATGAAAAATTATCCTTCCAATCAAATAGCGGTTTCCCGACATTGTAATGTCATGCATTACTATGTGAACATAATGCATTATGGAAAATGTATTCTGTAGTTTAAAATTATTTATTGGAACTGATGCAAAATGGGGTTAATTTGCAGCCCAATTAAATGATAATTCTACAGTCTATAAAAGTGTAATTGTATATTCTGTGAACTCTGCTTTATTCTGCAATATGCATCTTGTTTTAGTAGGTCAGTAATGTTGATTATACTTACACAGGGAAAAGAACAACATAATTAAACATTTGATCTTTAGCAACAGTGCCATCTTGCTTCTGAATAAAATGAATGAGCAGAAATTGTGGCTTTCATTTTACAGCATGACTGCTGTAGTTTTGCTGTTTAAGATCCTTGTTTTTCTGATCAATTTTCTGAGTGTATCTGTGGGGGATTGTATAAAGATATAATTTTATATGCGAAATATTAATCTATTGTTCTAGATAGACTTAAAATCAGTTTACAATACTAATACATTAATAAAGAGATGTTAATGAGTAAATTGAAGATAAGATGGCTCTTTTTAATGTAAGAATTGTTAACTGTATATTGTCACACTATTATTTTTATTTATCTTAGATTTTTTTCCAAATATGGATTTATCTCTTGCTAAAAGATTCACCCCAAAAGCATTATCCAAAAATACTTTCTGAGAATTAGGGGAGAAAGTCTACACTTTCTATGATTCTAAAGATGATCAGTTGTTTCTTATACTGCGAAGTCTTGGGTGTTTGTAGCTATAGAATTCACCTAGTAGTATAAGGAAGGCCATTCGATATCACCCACTCTCATTATTAGGATATTAACTAACACAGTGCTGACCTCCATTCATTAGCTAGTGTTGGGTAAACTAGCTATGTTCAAATGCTGCTGGATCTAGTTTAACTAGTTTACATAGTGCTTACTATGATTTCTTATCTGTGCTGACCAGTGTTCCCTCTAATATTTTCTATCCTTGGACAGGTTGAATTTTGTTTTGAGCGGGTTGAAATTTCTTATGTGCAACATCAATATTGAGGTAATGTGTGGATGTGCACCACTAATACAAACAAAACACACACACACACACATAACTTGAAGTAGTACATATGTGTGGAAGAAAATATATTAAAACAAGACACCTGTGTCTAGTTGCTGTGAGGTACCCTTAGTGACTATAAAGGTGCTGTACAAAGGTAGGGAATTAGCCTTCTTCCACTGGAGGAAGAGTAGAAGCCCCAGAATAAAGTAACACATGGCGTCACTGTTTGTGGACAGATGTTTCAAAGAGCTTGCAAATAAGGTTTCATCCTACAAAACTAGCACCACACCTAGTACTTGCTTTTTCTGACTTATCAGAGCCAGAATTCTACCACATAGCAAAGATCTGGTCTTAATGCAATACAATTTATTATGTACTAATTAGTAACACAGGATTTTTAAAAAAATCATTAAGTTCAGAATTTTAGATATTTACAACACTCTAAAAAACTTCTGTTATAAGAATCTTTTTCTTTCTTACCTTAAGCAGTTAACACCTATGTACTTTCTTTGAAATATAATCATGCAAATGTCCTGGCACACACACACACACACACACACACACCCGCCCCCTCCCCACCCACTCCCCGCATGCAGCTTGCTTCTCCCTATCAGCCCAGACAGAGAGGACTGCAGCAAGTAAGTCAGGACACCCCAAATAATCTGCCCCTGTCTCTCACTGCACAGATGCCAGCACCTACCCTCTTCTTCTTTCCACCACCTACTCCATTCAGACAGCCCCTTACCTCTCTCTTCCAAGCCCTGGAGAGTTGAAGAGACTGTTAGGTTTCTGCCTCTGTTTGTCTCTCTCTCTCTTTGTCTCTCCTCACACAAACATGACTCTGCAAACTTCCCTCTCCTATAACCCCCCCTCCCCAAGCCATTTAATTAGTTACTCGTTCCCACCCCCAGCCACTTATTTTCTTCTGATCTTGCTTTCTTGTCTCAACTGCTGATCTGCTCTTGGAGATCTTCAATTCAAGCAAGCAGCAGCTAAGCTGCTGCTTAAACTCCCCGCTCCCTACCGGTCAGCTGAGCTCTCTGGCTGCTTGAGAGGCTTTGAACCTCTGAGTGGGGCTCAGAAAACAGCTGTGCAGTCACGCACCTTAGAGAGAATTTAGGTGCTACCAGATTATGTTTGTGGTCCTGTCATCTGTTTTGTCTGCTCACAATTACATAGAATGATTAGATTACCATGTATAGATAAGCCCTAGGAAGATCTCTCTAGATACAACGTAGTTAAACATCTTTTAGGGACAGAATGTGGTATCTCTGTTTTGCTGCCTTATTTAGCCACTGTGTAAGAACTATAAGATGATTTTTTGACCCGAGTTCAATAACAATAAAAGGGTTTCAGGCAAACCATGGTTTCTGTGCCAATAACTTTGCAGTAAAAAATATAGATTGTGACGGGGCGAGGCAGCCCTGCATTGAACCTGCAGGGTCCAGCCAGGATTACCTGGCTGCAGAGGCCCCTCCCCCACAGCCCTACCAAGCATGCCCGGGCTGTAGCTCCACTATAAAAGCCTGGGGAAGGACTCAGTCTGGGGAGACAGCCAGAGGAGAAGGACCTGTGAAGGGAGCGCCCGCACTGCTGTTGCCGGAGACTCCAGGAGAGGCCAGAGGGGACGCGGAGGTGAGCTGGTGCAACCCAGGGACTGCCGGCTGAGGAGACGCTGGCCCAGAGGTCGCAGCAAGTGGGGCGAGTACAGGGGAAGGAACTCCAGGGGACTAGGTAGGAAGTGGCCCAGGGCAGGAGCGGGAGCCCTCTCTCCCGCCCAGAGAACCTTGGCGCATTTCGGCCAGATTGCCCTGCCGAGGGAGTGACCTGCTACCCGGTCGCTCACAGGGCCCTGGACCGGGACCCGGTGGAGTAGGGTGGGCCCGGGTTCCCGAACCTGGGGTGTGTCCCCGCTACAACCCTGAACTGTGTTATGGACTCAGGCCGGAGGGCCTCGGCCTTGCCAAAAAGGGCTGGACATGGACTGTGCTTCGGACTCAGGCCAGAGGGCCTTGGACTTAAGAGGGCAGGCAGGAGGGACCCGCCACATAGATAAAGAAGTTGATGAGGAACATAGGTAACAAGAATGTGTTTTACATGCTTAGGTTTAGTATATGTCTTGTAGATCCAGTTTGTGGGTATGCTTATTGTGGCAGAGCTCTGGCTGTGCCCATGGGTCCTGCACTTCTCGCGGATAATGTTCAGCCTCCGAGGCTTGTTGTGTCCGACCATATGGCCTCTTTCTTTTTACTAGAGGTAGGGTTCACAGCCTACTGAGCCATACTCATCATAGGCTAGTCCATAATGTGGGTGTTAAACCCCTCTAGAGTCCTGGTTTCCCTATCCAGAGACAGACCCTGTAGTGGCATAGGAAGGGTTGGGGGGAACCCAGGCTTATCCATTACTCCAGGTTACGGCCCAGGGACTCTAAGGCAGTGGCAACAGATGGGGTGTGTTCTGCTGTCAGGCTGGCAACTACTTTCCTGGGCCACTTCCCTAAATGATACAGGGACTCTAAGGCAGTGGCAACAGATGGGGTGTGTTCTGCTGTCAGGCTGGCAACTACTTTCCTGGGCCACTTCCCTAAATGATACCTCCCAGTACCTTTTCTCTGGTACCTGAGCAGTCTATCCTGCTTCTCCACATGTCTTGCAGTTACCAGCTCTCACTCAGACACCTCTCACTCTCAGAACTTTGGCTCCTTCCTTCCTTGCACACCTCTGAGCTATCCCGTCTTTTAAACCCATCTCAATTGATTCTTTATTGACCCTGGGTGTTCTGAATACCCTGACTCCTTTGGCTTTGGAAGGCTTCTAATTGGTTCCAGTGTTTCAACTGGCCTGATTGTCCACACTGATTCTCTAAAGTTCCTACTGGTTCTAGGCCAGCCCCTCCCAGTTCAGCCAGGGAACGGACCTACTTAATATAGGGTTAACATACCTCCCTTTTAGTACTCTCCTGTAGCCATCTGGCCCTGACCCCATTATATTATGTTGCAATTTTATAAGTATATATCTTAAAATTTCAACTGCAGGCAAAACTAGATCTATATTAGGCAATGATACCATTGTATCTGAACGCTTCATAATCTTTGATATATTTATCCTTAGACAGTAAAATGCTATTATCCCCATTTTGCAGATGAGGAACTGTGGCACAGAGACTAGGTGACTTGCCTGCATTCTCACAGGAAGTCAGTGGTGGAGCACAAAATTGAACCTGGTCTCCCAAATTCCAGCCTAACCACCGGGTAATTCCAGCCTTCCTCCATGGTTGGTGATAGGAGGATATCCAGAATAACTGAATTTCTAGGAAGGGCTTGAATTGAGATTGTTTGTACCCTGGGAAAATGGAGACTATTCATGTGTAGTGTTAGTATGGAGGTGAGGGATGTTTGAAGGTGAGAATTTATGACGACGATATGAAGGGTTGGTTTATGTGGAAAAAGTTGATAAAGCAAACTAATGGGAAGTGCAATAGAAAATAAGAACACATAGCAAAAGAGGTAAAATGTGCTGCATCTTTTTAGAATTGGTGAGGGGAAGAAAGGAAGGAGACCTGAGAAGAGGAGATTGCATTATGCACATCCTTGTTAGCTCTTGCCTCACCATGTTTTGGCTGTGGAGCTAGAAAAAGGAATGGGCATGTTTGTAGATGAAGGGACATTTTGCACAAATTTGGATTGGAAACTAGAGGACAAAAAGAGTATTGGAAAATTACCCCAACATTG